GACTAATAAGTCCGGTATGGATATATGACGAGTCCAATTGGACTTAGTTGGGCCATTATATTTTGCAGGATAAAGTTTCACAAATTCGATTGGGCTATTTCTTTATGAACTGTGACCTGAATCAACTCAAAAGAAAAAGGAATAGAGTACGGATGTGTTTGAACTTTGATATGATGGAAAAATATTTCCTAATACATATACAACAAATATATATACATTTTTAATAAACGTTTCTCTTACAAAAAAATAAATTCTTTTGATGTAATAAATTTTATCATGTATATTTATCCCATAAATCTATATCATAAATAATACTGTAACTATAATCTAACTTTGCAACAAATTATATTTATACTTTAGTACATGATAAATTTTACCAACATGTAATAATTTATACCATGGTTGGACAAATATCTTGTAATTAAGATAGTTTAGGGACTAATTTGAATTAAGAACATTGGCTTAATTGCAAGTCACAACTGATCAACTTGAATAGAAACACATTAGCAAAATGATATTTCAATATTATTATAATATTTCTTGAAATATTACAATTTCGTAATATGTTTGGTTTCTACTGCATTATTCATGTATATATCAGGCATATACGATGTGAGTAATGTCCGCAAGAAACAATTGATGCTAAAGGTGGTGGATGATATAACTTCACTGAATCTTGATTTTGTTGTTCCAGATCTTGGCCAAATGATTTCACATTTGTTAATTTATAATAATAATGTTTGAAGTAGAGAAATCTTGAGCTCGAAAATATAAGACGGCTACATTTTCTATTACAACCCGAATTGGGAGCCTGTTGGTGATATCTCTCTCAGCAACAACAATGTAACACTTGAGATAGTTCAATGGTTATAATTAAACTGTCGTATATAATCCACAATTCTGACCAACCAAACTAACCCAATACATAACAAATTATTTAATTTGAAGTATTCAATTATTTTAAAATTTATGGGGACCAGACTTAGCTTGTACATAGATTACTGATGGAGTTATGGTGGGAATAATAAAATAACAATTCAAACTTTCAAAGGTCTCCTTTTTAAGTCCACAATAGTTAATAATCACGTTTTGTGATAATTACTATTAATCGTCATTCAACATATGATTTTTAAGTGTTCATACATCAAGGATAGCGCACATCCCTCATTTCTACTTTAATTAATGGATGATCAAAGATCTTATAATGACATGGGCCTAATATATATAATCCATTTTCATTTATTTATATTTTTGGTTTTATATTGATGCCATGTGCATGTGAATTCTGAATATATCTTACTTTTCCTTATCAGTTCCATTTGAAAAATACTGATAAAAAGTAGCTGTACAATTGTAATTTGTTGGCTAGCGTTAAAAGACTTGAGAATTATAATTGATATATCGACAATTTATTTTGTAAATTAAGACGCTAGCCTTAGGGGCTAATTAATTTCGAGTTGGAACGTTAGGTTAGTGATAATAAGAGCAACTTAAATTTAACAACTTATCAAATGCATTTTATTGCAGGAATTTGAGGAAGCAAATATGTCTCATTTTAAATGTGAATTGAGAACTAAAATTCCTTGTATGGGGTAAAAATTTCCTCCATAGTACAAGCATTATATATAGTGGCATTCATGATAACAATTGACAAGCAATTCATGATCGACCTCTTTATTTTATTTTGAACCTTTCCATTTCTCTAGTCTCACTTTGAATATTGGCACCAAATGTCAATTTGCACATTAATAGATGCAAGACCAATAGCTAAAGCAAGCAAGTCATCATTTTTATCTGCAGAGTTTCAGAAAAAAGAAAGTGAACAAAAAAAGAGATACTTTACGACAAATTGTTCTAAAATAGATATAGTGGCCAGCCTGGATTGTCAAACCTAAAATGATTATGAGGTTTTGCTATGACAATTTTTTGTTTGACTGTTAGGAGGCAAACGAATTGTATTCAAAACATCTTTGAAGCTTTTGTATCGATAGTCAAACATCAAAATGCGTGTCTTGAACATCAAATATATATATATGATTTTATCATTTGATCATCGGTATATATTTTCCACTTTAATTTATAACGCTTAAGATCAAATTGTTTGAGTTAATGTAAATAAATGTTAACAAGTATTTTCCTATTGCTGATAATTAAACAGTAAACATGCAGTAAACACACTTCAATCAATCCACTCTTCTAAACTAGCAGGATACTTGGAGTCTTGGATACGTGCATTTATTTGAATGCTGAAAGTTTAACTTCGCATCAGATGTTAAATGTCGCAATCTAAGCTTATGACACGTATTGTCTGCTTTAGCCTAATAGACAGACCTCTTGGCTCTTGGATTTGCATTTCATAATATATATATCATCCAATGCAAAAACGTGCATCGCATGTAAACTTATGTTATGACTTCTTAAACTCTTTCATTTTTCATTATCATTTCAATGTACTATTCGCCAAAAGTGTAATATGCAAACATTTTTTCAGAAATTTGTCGGCCTATATACAAAAGTAAATCAATCTTTCTCTTTTTCCTGCCCATATTAATCTTTCTCTTAGTCAGCTCATATGGTTGTCACACTAAAGTTGTCAAAAAACGCTGAATCACAATCTTAGAAGATCTTGTTAAAAACCTTTTAATTTATTCTTAAATTCTTTGTTTGTTTCTTTGGCATGCAGCATATATAATAAAACATAGTATTGTTTGCTTAAGGAAGAAAAATATACAAAAGGTAGGAATTAAGCAATTTGTAACAAGGCATTTGTGCTTTAGCGGCCGAAAGCGCTTAACGGATCAGAGCTTTTGACTGGTCGAATATTTCCCTTTTTAACTTCAAACATTCTTTTCACTTTGGTTTTTTTTAAGGCACATCCCATTTCTTTAAAGCAAAAGTATATATGAAAACATGACTTTTAGATATATGGCCTTCCGCGTTTGGTCAACTTTGGTAATTAGGACATATTTAGGTTATTATTTTTCTCCAAAACTCTATTTAATTAAGTGCGTTTTTAGTTATTAATTCAGTTAGCGTATTGTATTTGAATATTCAAAGCTTTCCATCAAGTTGTACTTCTTTTGATGGTCATCTCATGATCATTAGAATAATGATTTATAATTTCTTAATTAAGTTAATTAAACACATTACTTAGTCCGCTTTATGTTAAAGCAGCTAGCCTTTGTGGTTGGAGAAGACCGTGGAGTGGAGTGGATTGAGTTGAATTGAATTAAAATAAGGCACCACTGGTATATTTTCTTGTATCCATCACCACCTTTACAAATTGGCTAAGCCTAAAGCTTAGCACCTCTTCAATGCACGTAACCTTTGTTGTTTGATTGGGTTAGTGGCGGGGTCAAGATTTTCATTAACGATGTTCTAAATATAAAAAAGTAAATAAACAAAGAAGCCAAAGACGCCGAGGTTCAATATCTACTATATATATTTTTATTTTATTTTCATATAAAAATAATATAATTTTTCGTAAGGAGCGGCTTCTCTCTTTATCAAGTTGAGAATAAACAGAAATGCTGAAATTAAAAATTATGTCCAATTTCCATGCACCACCACATGCAACTCCATTTTTAAAAAAAGAAGTTATAACTGTATGGTAATTTTATCTGATGATTATTTTGTTTTAAAAACATCTTAATATAATGGTATGCAAGCCTAACAATGATCGTTTTCATTTTTTAATATAAGTAACATATCATATGGGACCATGATAATCAAGAGACAGATAAGAAAATTGCCCTATATATATCACAATAAATATGCAAGAACTATTCATTCATCATTAATAAGTATGTGAAACAAAAATGTCAACTTTTACTAGATATTCTTCAATTTAAACGGCGATTCTGCAACGTAACCTACTCTATAGCATTTTCAGAGCTCTCTAGCCACAACAAGTTCATGAAATAAATTCCCATGCCAGGTCCCCATATTTCACTGTCCTCCAGATATCCCCATAACACTACGTACAACACACGGCACCACAAATTAAATAATCATAACAAGAAGACTACACAAAAAAATTTAAATTCCCAACCACCTAAAAAAAGAACAAGTAATAAAAAGAAGACGGTTGATCATGAAGAAAACCCATAAAAGAACATTCTTGGCTGTTCTAGATAAATGAATGTCTATCATATATGCATTAAAATATAGAAACCTTGATTATATCATACGTACGTTGCTTGACGTCTATATCGAATATTAATACTCAAACTTGCATCTCACTCTTGGAATTTTGATTTCTACTAATAAATTTGTTTGGAATTACACTTGGATTATTCTGTTCCTACAAATTATAGTAGGGGAGAAAGGAGCATCTCGTGCTTACATACGTTCTTGGGAAAAGCATGTTGCAATCTATCATGACACAAATATTAGGGACTAATTTCACAGAGATAATTTATCGTTATTTTGAGACTCCTTCAACCTAGGCCACAAGAAGGGGTCATAATTATGGATGAGGAGAGGTCACAAAATTGAGTGAGAGAAACAAATTCAAATGTCAATCTCCGAGTTAATGGTGTTCATTCAGATTTTCCTATTCCCTTTAACAACTCGAAAATAAAAACAATAATTCACGTTTAACGGACCCCAGAAGGCGTGGTAGCCCAAAACTTAAAACTCTTAGCAATACAATGCCATTTTCAATTATCATTAAATATAAATACTGCTACTTTCAATCGGAATACGACTATATATTAAACAAATAGGTATTACTCCGTATCTATTTATCTACCAGTAAATTAATTTTACCTTTGAAGATGTATATGTCTTTCTCTGGTCATTTTTTAATTCTGAAAAAAACTTTGGTACGTATTTTACATACATTGTAGTCCACTTAAAGATAAAATATCGTAATTTCCCTGAATGTTAAAAGTCTCCCTTTCACTCATTCAAGTTCACACTAGAAGTTTGTGATTGTCATTCTCTCAATTTCATTATAAATTGATGCCACCACACAACACACAGCTTATTGAGCTATAGACAAGAGATATATTCCTCTTCATCTCTTCCTGCATAGTACTCAAAAATTAAGCATCTAGCTAAAGCTAAATAATAAGTCATGTCTAAAGCATCTGCAAGCTTTTTCTTCATCATCCTTCTCCTCTGTTTTGCCCTGTCCTATGCTGCTCGCCCTCAGCCACTATTTCACGAGGCTACTCTCAACAATATTCAACAGCAGGTACGTAATCTGATTGTTGAATTGTGTAATTATATCATCTAAAATACTTAGTTACGTTGTTAAATATAAAACGTTAATATTATTCACAAATAATTTAGTCTCGTATTAGTATAAAATAATTTGAATTATTTCAGGATGTTGTTGAACCAAAGGAAGTTGGTAAGGAAGAGAGTTGCAAAGGAGTCAAGGAAGAAGAATGTTTAGAAAGGAGGACTTTGGCTGCTCATCTTGACTATATCTATACCCAAAATCAGAGCCCTTGAAGAAAGTACTATTCCCAAGGACGAAAATGATCAGTTGATTTGTTTTACAATGATTAATTGACCTAAGTTTTCCGTTAATTTATGTTTCACTAAAGTAGTGATAGAACGAGTGAGTTATCACATATATTATATAGTATTGCTTTTGGTGTGTTTCATGTTGATTTTTCCTGTACGCTAATAAATCCAAAATCAAGTTCCTAGTGTATGCAAGTTGATCGATTACTTAATTTATGTACTTGATTTTCTTGTATGCAAGTTTATCCATTAGTAGAGCAAGTTCACTATATAGTTTTTTTACTTCTTACTAGTAATTGAAAAACAATCGCTGAGAAAATCTATCTTTAATGAAAGAAGTATGTACCAAGATAAATAATCAAACTTATTGCAATACTCCACGTCAACGTTAGCGCAGCATTTCGACCACGGAGACAAGAGAAGACCGGTAGTTAGTTGTTGAATTAATAAAAGGAGAGCGTTGGACTTGTATGTACTATGCTTATTTTTGGCTAAATCCTATTATGGAGTAGTGATTAATATATTATCATGAATTCAAGTAAGTACCAATAAGAATGACGACTTAAAAGTTGACATATATTTGGTTTTATCCAGAGATATTTTTCATCTTCTGCTGGTAATATAATATAGTACAAGATATCAAATTTATCCGTGCACCATATAAGTCCATAACTGTACTGGTGACTGAACCCTAATTTTCTAGAAGATTTAAAATATGAAAGAAGTAAACATATGAAGAAGAAGAAGCTAAGGTGGTTCAACATCTACTAAATATATATTCAAAAATAATTTTAATCATGTATAAAAAATGTAATTTTCACCAAAGGAGGTTTGGATGAACCCCTTGACCTTACCTGGCTCCGTCCTGTAGTTTTGGCCTAATATTTTCAATTGGGGACGTTCCTCGTCCATATTCATGATCATGTTGTGATTACAAAGTGGCACTATATCAATACAAATATGTTATCGTTAAGAAGAGAAATAAAAAAATGTCAAGCTGCTGTACTAAATGTGCTTCGACCAAGACGACTATTCTATTTCTGTCAACTACATATTTAGAGTTTTCCAAAGAGCTGTAGTAGCAAATTAGAGATGCATACATATTGTCCCCATATTTCGTTTTCCTCCAGAATATCCACAAGACTATACAAGTATAAAACCAAAATAATAATAATATACTATAACAAGAAGACTAGGATTAAATTTTAATTTCTATTTTATTCTAGAATGTGTGGACCATTACACGTGTGGAAAAATGCTTAGCTTGGGCCAGGTAGAAAAATAGTATCATGAAAATCTCTTAGACCAATCCGTAAATCGAATACTCAAACGTGCATCTCATTCTCAGAATTTTGATTATTCATTATCTGTTTGAGAATAATACTCCTGAACTACTGTTCTATTGTTCTTTCCAATTCCTTCATGCTGTGCAAGTCGGGGAAAGGCCTTTTCCCGATAGTTATCCTTGTTCAAGGGGAGTCAATCGGAGGAAATGAAATATTTTGGCCACTTATGAATCGAGTAGAAGAAAATGACCCTTTTCAGATCTCTTATGTGTTAAAATAAAGATGATAAGTGGTTTATAAAATTAATTCTCCCTTTAATTACGCTCATCACAAAAGAAGTCGCACCCCAATTTTAGCTAAATATATAGGGTCAGCAAAGCATAAATGCCTTTCTAATTGAAAAAAGATGAATACTAGTTGCAATAGTTAGGAAACGTAACAACCATTTATCAATGGCGTTATGTACGTAGCTATGAACTTTCCTTTCATTAATTAATAATTCTCGTGGTCACCGTTAATTAATACTCCAAAGATTCCTTCTTCTTCTGCCCTTTATTGTTAAAATAAGACTTTAATTTGTACATACTTATATCCTGGTCCAAATTGAGAAAACAATTAATTTCTTGATTCTCAATTACCCAAATATCTTTAAAGTCACCCATTTAACTCATCCTAGTTCACACTCAATCCCCTCCATTTTGCAGTATAAATACATGCCACCACATAACACATGCTTCATATAGAGCTGGAGTTACATAGCAATATTACTCGAAACAAGTATTACATTAAATTAACAACCAATTAACCATGTCTAAAGCCAATACCAGTTTTTTCTTCATTATACTTCTCCTCTGTTTTTCCCTGTCCTATGCTTCTCGCCCTGGCCCAGCTTTTCACGAGGCCACCCTCAACATTGATCAACACCAGGTAACCAAAGTTCAAGATGTTTTGAAATTTTCGCCTTTTCGATAAATTTTATGATTAAACATTAGACGATGATCTAAAATTTTGTTATATTATTACGTTACAGGATCATGTTGTTGAATCAAAACAAGTAGAGAGCTGCAACGGAGGGCAGGATGAAGAATGTTTAGAAAGAAGGAATTTGGCTGCTCACCTTGACTATATCTATACCCAAAATCAGAACCCGTGAACTAGTTTGCCATTTGGTACATTGAAAGTAGACGAGACAGTTATATATATCACACATTAAAATTACCTTACTGTACATCTGTCCGGTTGATTTTTCCTGTACCTTAAAATGAATTAATCGCATACAAATTTTCTTCTTCCATCCTAGATTCTGTTTTGCTTTCTATATAAGTAACTTTAGAATTTGTGATTTTAAACATATTTGTGACATTTATAAGAGAATCTTATCAAGAGTATAAAATTAAGGAGTTTTTCAATATACAAAAAATAGTACTCCGTCATTTTTTTCCCATAATATCCTATAAAATGAGAAAACCGAGGGACAAATTGATACCTCAAATTTTAAAAATTAAAATAACTGCTAGAATTTTAAAAAATGTTTTGCTACATGGAGAACAATATAGAGACCTAGTAGAGATGAAAGACAGAAATTAATGAGTAAAGAGTGTGTTTGCTCACCCGCCTGACTTATATTTATAATATAGAATAATCACAATTACAATCCTATTACAACTACAATACATAGAGATCAACTCAAACACAAACTCTAACAAGTAGTAGTAGCTTAACATGAAAATAGTTGAGATATTTCTATCATAAAGATCTTGTGTTTAAGTTTTAAAAATGAAAAAAGAATTATACTGAAAATAAATTAGTTGAGTTCTAATATAACAGGTTTTAAAAAAAAAATTACGTTGCAAGCAATTTAGTCGAATTCTAATAGGATAGGCGAGAAGAGAATTGAAACCAAGAAAAAAATATGGAAAAAAGGGCAGAGAATAAAATGTTATTGAACCAGCTGATCTGATGACGTGGGTCGTTGACGCTTTAACAGCACAAGGTCGGCAATGTAATTGCTGAGATGAGCGGTGTTAAATTGTACTCATCTATCTGATCAATAAAATACTTCCTTCTTTTTTGAACTAGTTTCCTTTTTAGACTGTTTTAAAAAAATATCCTTTTTTTTTAATAATAATTAAACTTTGATTTTTCAAATGGCATGTTTAAGGCCATAAGATTAAAGAACATTTTGGTATATTTGATATGATTTTAATTTATAATCATAAGATTAAAAAATTTTCTTCTATTTTTTAAAATTCTTATCAAATTAAACTAGGTCATTCTTTCTGAAACGGATGGTGTAACCTTTTCTTGCCTCATCTTAAAGATAATAGTAAGACTTACCATCTTTCACAATTGTCAGTCAGTTGAATCGGTTGTATCTCAAGGTGGATGTATTTCTAGTACACCAGTTTTTTTTTTTTTTTCCAGTAAGACAAAGGTTAAGCTGATTCTTGACTATAGTATGCTAAATTCATATCTATAACAATTCATTTATCGTTATTATTATTCATTGTACATAATTCGTTGCATCCTGTAGGAACTCTAATATGCATGCACCAATTCATAAGTTTACAATCGACCAACATAGACACTTCCCCATAATTCCATTGTAGTACCATCACCTAACAAATTGGATGACAAAGGGCCTGTTTGGATGAGTTTATAAAAATAACGTATAAGTCAAAAGCTAAAAGTCATAAGTAGAGAGTACCCTACTTTTGACTTTTGATTTATTTTAAATCTATTTTGACCTAAATGTGAGTACTTAAAAAATAATTTTTAATCTTTTCAAACACCTCCATGTTTATAGTTTTGAGTTTATGTCTTTTGCCGTTGTACAAATATGTTAATGTAAAAGCTAATTGTAGTTAAATGTTTAACCAATCATGAGTTGGTAACTTCAGAAGTATAGTGAATAACCTAATGGAATAGCTCAAATTACATTAAGTGTGTAAAAATGGTTTCATGCCATTAATCATATTCAATACAAAGAAATTAAGATAACTTAATGAAACTTATATAGGAGTATACTAAATTGGATGGTAGTTGAAGGTAATTTCCAAAAGTAGAAGGGGAGTTGTGCAATTAAAGAATAGGAGATGTGAATGTAATGGGAAAAGGGTTAAAAATGCCCTTAACGTATCTCAAATGGTTCAAAAATGCCTTTCTTCCACCTTTTGGTTTAAAAATGTCCTCAACATTTTTTTAAGATTTAAAACTTCCCTTTATTAACAACACAGTGACATGGCAATTGTGACATGGATTTTCTTTACCTATTTCAAAATATATGACCCACTTAGTTAGAAACCCATTTCAAATCTGACCCGATATGCCCAATCAATTTTGAGTCTTTTGTTCCCATTTATCCTAACTCTCTTCTTTCTTCCTTGAGTTCCTACCTCCTTCAATTTATCTTCTTTTTCCATTTCTCGATTAATTTCAAGAAGAAAAAAAAGGAAGAACTACAAATAATAAGGTAGCTAAATCTTGAATTTGTTCCTTGCTGACATTGAAACGTTCTTCTATGCTACATCTAATGCCCATGAATCCACCCCCCAAATTCACAATTGCTTCTAACTCGAAATCATGAACATTATCAAATAATTCATCTGTTCCCAACACGGTCACATCCCCTGCTATCACTGCAACACTGATTTCCTCAGCTATATTCGGATCATCAGAAGTACTTCCATTCCCCAATTAAAAAGGACAATTGAACCTTGATTGCTGAACTTTTGATTTATACACAATTATCCCCTCTCTGATCACTACAAACCCACTATCTCCGACGTTAACAGCGTGCAATGTGTCATCGAAAAGAGACAAAATAC